TCCATAAGTGAGTTTGGTAGATACATGGTATATGTGTTCAGATTGCAGCCCTCTGGCCCAATTGAACTCTTTATTTTTGGCAGCTGGGAATTTTTTATTTCCATAACAGTATAATATCCACTTTCAAAAACCACAGATTTACAGAGATATACAAAAACATCTCTAATAAAAGCAGGAAAACCATGTTTCCAAATCCAGAATAAAGTGCACCATGATTTCATTGCCAAAAAAGCAGAAGCCATAAAGGCTAAAGGTGTGATTTATACGTGTCTTTTTCATTCATACCTTGTTGGCCTTTCAAAGATCTTAAAAACTCAGGTGTTCCTTCAGTGCCAGGATGTTAATGGAGTCCAACTTGAATGTTTTGCTTTGCTGATTAAGGAGTTTTTGTACTTGGTCTTTTATTGGAGGTTTTTTTTCTATCTTTACATACGGTATGTATATTACCAATAAAGGAGAATAATTGTAGCTCAGGGTTGAAATGAGGGGTCCTTGGTGCTCTCTGAGCTTGCTTGTTTTCCTACAGATGTTTTATTACCCAAACTAGATAACATCATCAGTGCTAGTAAGAAATGCAGCTTGTATATATATTTTTGTTTGTATGCCTTTGTTAACCATCCAGATAATTAGGCACATACATTTGCAGAATAAAAATATAAATTCTTACATACATTCATAAACAGGCACATATCAAAATTGAAACCTTTATTTGATACGAGAGAGCCAGTTTGGTGTAGTAGTTAAGGCATCAGATTAGAAACCGAGAAACGGTTGGATGACTTTGGGCTGATCGGTTTCTGTCATCCCTAGGAAGCAGGCAATGGCAAACCACTTCTAAAAAAGTTGCCAAGGAAACTGCAGGGACTAGTCCAGGCAGCAGTCAACGTTGACTTGAAGACACTAACACCCTCCCACCCCCCAAATTTGGACAGGAATCTTCTCTTACTGTGGTCAGAGTTACATTTTTCCCAGAAGCTTCATTCCTCTAATTTTAAGTGATGGTTTTCTTTCATCAGGGTCACCAATTGGGTCTTCACTGCATCTGTTGGACTTTCATTCACCTTTCTTTCCAAGCTGGTTAGATATCTAAGCCAAATAGGGCTTTCCACATTAAGAAACCCCTAACGCTGGCAAGATTTGATGTCTTCCTTTGGGAAATTGTGGGGGTTTCCATTTGAACCCAGGGTTGCCCCTGTAGGGAGGCAATTCCTGATACATTAACCCACGTTTTGCCATATTGCCCTCATGAGAAAAATGCCTGGTTGGATTTCCTGCCCCCCTGAATCCATTTTATTTGAGCTTGTTAATTATCAGTAGGAAATGTGATAATTATTAGATTTTACCATGGTTTTACTTGTGATCTCACAATGTTGCTTTCTGTTTTGGGGAAATGAGTTTTGGAATGGGTGGATTGGTTGGTTGTTTATTGACCTGATCTATAAAGGTCAGTGCAATAAAATATTCACTTCGCTTCTCCACATATTTCAGTGGCCTATGCTGCTTTCCTTGTCACTTGTCAACAGACTGTTCATTCCTTCTCATGAGCAATAAACCTCTGTTAAGTTTAGCCTGCCCACAGTAGCTAACTATATGGAATCTTTGCATTCTGGTTCTGGAATTATATACATTCTAAAGATCTCACCTTTTCATCCACCATAAAATACATTTTTCTACAGGAAAAAATTGTGGAGGAAAGAGAACCCTAAAAAGTGTACAGGAAGGGACAGATTATAAGACACTGACCAAGAGAACTGGATTGCTGATAATTTTGAGGAGGCAGGAGATGGAAAAGAAAGAGAGAGGTTCAAATTTACTGGTCTATGAATGTTTGAAAGCTTTTAACAGAGCTGGGATTTTGTTTAATTAAATGTTTTTTTTAATAGGATATTTTTGTGAGCCTCTCTCAAGTTGATGGACTCTACTTTGTCTGCAATATTGATAACTTCAAATTTTTAGCCAAAATGATTCAACACATTCCACTCCATTTGAGAGCAAGATATGTGTTTTGCACAGCTCCCATTAATCAAAAGGAGCCTTTTGTGTGTACCTCACTCTTAAAGGTAACTTGCATCTTTTGGTAATATTTTTGGTTTTTTTAGCATATTTCCTGGAAGAGCCTTTCTAAGCTCCCAGTATGCCCAAACAGTAGATGTGCTTGTATTATATGTATATGTGTGTTTTGTTGTAATGGATCAACAACTTCCTAATCTTATTTACCAGCTTAAATAAATCTTTCCAAAATGTTCTTTTTTGCTTCAATTTCCTGAATAGCAACTGCAAAATTTCTTTGTCAGGGACGACTTTTGTAGGCTTCATTTGAACTATAGAAATGGACTGAGTAATGAACAGCTTGCATTGTCTCTGATTTTATGTTTATAGATTTGACTGAGAATAGAATGCAACCCAGCATCATTTGCTGATTCGCATGTTCGCATATATGTGTGTGAGATCAAACACTGTTTTTGCACTATTGGGGAAAGACATTACTGGAGAGACATATGACCCAGTTTAGTTTCTCAGAAATTGAATGTTGGCTAAGACAATCCTAGACACTATATTAACTGAAAGGCCATCAATAACACTGCTAATGAGGATTAGCAGATTAGATATCTGATTTGATCTCTCAGTTGACATTTTGAGCAAAGTTTCTGTTTCTAGAAAAGCAAGGCAGAAAGTTGTTCCCTGTTATAGAAGCATTGGAACATTCACTTTTTCTTCCAGTGTCTAAAGTGCTAAAAGAAAGGTAGTATTTTGCTGATGCTTTGAAAAACTATAAAATGCTTTGCCTCTGATTTGAACTTAAATGCTAAACTTGGTAAAAAGTTAATATTATAAACTATGGGAATTGCTTTCCTGCCTGAGCTTGGCTATTGCAGAGAATGTTTGGCAATATGAGGGCATTGCTGTTTTGGAAATATTGTTTGCCTAATCATCTCTTTTTGTGTTCCAGTTTGCACGACAGTTCAGTAGAAATGAACCTGTGATGTTTGATTGGCTCTGCCGACATATTAACTGGCCCCTGGTCCCACCCAAGAACATCAAGGACCTTGTCCATCTTGAAGCTGTTCATGATGTTCTTGATCTCTATCTCTGGCTGAGGTATTGGAACAGAAGAGTAGTTCTCCCCTATCTTCTTCTTAAGGGGCCAGCTTAAGAAATTGTCTTCTGTTGGGAGAATGGGCCCTAATGATACATTTTTCCTGTGATAATGTTTATTTTTACAGTGCTGTGGCGAACTGTTTGTGTGAACATCCATCATTGCCAAAATGTCTGTGACATCTCTCTCTCTCCAGTTCTTGTTCTCCAGGACCCTCATTCTTGAACAAAATAGGCTCTTTTGCCCAGATTTACCTTATCTTTTATGCTAGTCTATACAATAGCAACCACACTTGGAGCAGGCCATTAAGCAAAATAGTCAATAAGTGAAACTGACTGGTTATGGTCTTACTTCAGCTTTCCTTTGCTTTACAGACTTGTGAAAGTTGCAAAAACAAGGACTTGTTATAAAATTACTTTTTCTTCACCGTTGTAATTGCAAATGGTCACTGGATGAGTCAGTTGTTAAATGAGGACTACCTGTACAATATTTAAATCATCAAGCTTTTTTATTTAATTGTCAAACAAAATATTGAATATCACAACCCTATTGTAAACTTTTGAGAGGAAAAATGCCGTTGCCTGCATTAATGAGCTACGAACCCATGATTTGCCCCACATTTTTGTAACCTTGGAAATTGGTGAATAAGAGTCAGTACTAAATTCTGTCAAGTGATGCCCTCTAATAAAGGATTTGTAGACCCATAGAGAATTGATTTGCTTTTCTAAGAATTCCCGTTCACAAAGTGACTGTTTTTTTTTTAATACAGTTACCGGTTTATGGACATGTTCCCAGATGCTGGTCATGTGAGGGCGATTCAGAAGAAACTGGATGACATCATACAAATTGGAGTGATGAATATTACAAGACTGATTCAAGCTTCCCAAGTCACTTCTGAGGCAATGGGTATTCCTGTCGAGAGCCTCAGAACTGATAATAGGCTCCCGCATGCAGAAATGTCAGAGATTTCCACAAACAAAGAGATGGCCCATGGGCCCCGCAGAGCAAGAGGACCTAAAGCCAGGAGCTTACAGTCTGCGGACGTGCAGCTGGGCACCCCAAGCCAGATGAAGGGTCCTCTGGCTGAAAGACTGATACAGCAGGGGCTCCTCAGCAAGGAAGTGCTGAAACAATTGGAGAAGGAATGGCTCGCTCAACAGGATGCTCCTCATCATGTTAGTGAAAACAGGAGCTCAGCCAAACACAAAGAAAAAAAGAAATGAAGTGATGCCTCTGCTTAAATAAAACAGTAGTTTCTTAAATATTTGTGTTTTGATCTTGCACAGATTTTAAACATCACTGTGAATGGGAGATTTTAAAAAGTTCACCATGAATAAGAGGTTTCTGTACCTCTTCATAAATGCAGCTTCACAGAAGCAAACAAAACTGCAAGGAATTTTCATTTTAAATTGAAATGAGAGAGCAAGGCTATAATAAGGATAAAAGGAGAAGTTAGGTATCAATTCACTGAGTGATTGCAATGTGGGCATAATAACAGCTGGAACAACTGCATTTCAGTTAATGTAGACTTCAGCTAGGAGATTCTGTCAAAAGAGCCTAAATACTGCTTAAATATTGACAGGTTAGCACCGACTGAGTCATGTTTGAGCTTGTTCCATAACAAGAGAGCTTAGTTCATCATTCAACTGCTTCTTCAGAGTACATAGTTCAGCAGATAAAGCATTTTAAATGCTAATATACAACTTGACTAGAAATCAGATTAATAGACTGGCCACTTGGTTGATACGTTCTTTGGCAGAGAAATCAGTATTTTTCAAGACTGCCACATGAACAATTATATTTGGGGGAGGGAAAAATATCTAATAAAGATGTCTGCCTTTTAAAAAACACTTTCAGCGTCAACTCAGTAGGTAAAAGTTTAAAACAAAAACAGTTTTTTATGATATGTATCAAATGTTTTTAGTATGCATGCATTTAAATCCAGAAAAAATAGGACATTTTGAACAAGATATACATGTTTTATGATATATGTGTAGCGAAGCAGGAGCTTGGATGGGAAGGGAGAGATTGGGACAGCTGCTGCTGGCTTTGGGTGTGGCCGGAGTGGCTGGAGGAGAAGATAGAAAAGAGAAGGAGAGGAGAAACGGGAGGCCAGTTGCAGTTCATCAGGTGAAGGTAAAGGGACTGTAAGTTTTATTTGTTTTCTTCGTAATGAGGATATTTTAAACAGGCTAGAGGGGGAGAGAGAGTGGACTTTTATTGCTTCCTTCGTGAGGAGGAAATCTCAAACAGGCAAGAGAGAGATTGTGTGGAGAGGAGTTGGCAGAGACTCCTAGCCTCAGATTTTAACAATAAAGATAAAGGAGGGGGGAGGGTTTTGACGCTGAAACCTGACTGAAGGAGAAGCAACAGAAAGAGAGGAGAGACGGAGGGGGGTAGCTATTGCTGCTGTGGAGCCTGGAAACTATTTGGACTATGACTATCACTGCTGCTACAGGTTTTAAGACATTGTGGGGGAGTTGCGGGGGGTGGGAACAAGCTTCTGTTACAGCACATTGACTGTTGTTGTTTCTACTACCGTCTGGAGCCGGGGGGGGGGGGGGTTCTCCTCCATCCCACTTGACTCTGAACGATAGCTGAGGAATCTTTTATTCCTGCTGCTATACCGGCCTTGGGCTGTTGGATATCATCATAGCATTGACTATCATGACTGGTTATTTTCGTTCCTGGAAGCCCCTCTTTGATGACAAGAGCCTGCTACCTACTAATTCTGCATGAGCTCCAGCTGGAAGAGACATCAACCCCTAGAGAACACTACTGCAGGGCTTGACAAAGGGGGCTGGAGCTGGGAGCGCCTGGGTTTTTGCGGCCTCTGAGGAGGTAACGGTACATATGTATGAGTACAAAATGAGGATTGAAGGCAGCTCTACTCATTTTTTTTTAATTAATAATTTTTTATTTTTCTAAACTCTCCCCCATACATATACCGTAATACTTATCAGATATTCCCTCCACACTCACATACAGATACTTTTAACAAAATGAAATAAATACATACACATAACTTTGGTGTTGCTCGCCCATTTCCCCTTTCACCGTATCCACACTCCTTCTTTATCTTCTTTCTCCCTTTCTTCCCTACTTCCCTCTTCTTCCTCTCCTCTCCTTCACCACTCTCCTCCCCTTTCCTCTTCCTCCAACCTTCCTACTTCCTTCTCCCCTCCTTTACTCTTTTCTCTCTCCTCTCCTTTCTTCCCTCTCATCCCTCTTCAGATACAATTCAGGGGTAATGTCCCAGCAACTCCTCTCTCCAAATTTCCCTATCTTTATTATATACAATAAGATTAATATTTCTATTTATCTAACCTTCTCGGTATATACTTCTATAAACATTTATACAGCCTGCAGTTATTCAATACTGTGTCGCCTGGGTCTCCCTCCTTATCTGCTCCTTCTTCCATCTAAATTGATGTTAACTATCTTTTAACTGTATTCTCTTTTCAGCCAATCATAAAAAGTTCCCCAAATTTCATAGTAGTCTGACTGGCTGCCGTAATTACATGAATAATTAAATATGTTTTTTCTTTATTGTATTTCTCTGGTAGAATACCCAACAGGAATATTTCTGGTCTTAGTTCTGTACGTTGTTGTATCATCTTTTCTATCCATGTTCTAATTATATTCCAATAAGTTTTAGCTTCTACACACATCCACCACATATGGTAGAAGGAACCTGGTATCTGATGACATTTCCAACATTTCATAGACCTGTCCTTAAACATTTTAGCTAATCTTTCAGGAGACGTGTGCCATCTGTAAAATATTTTGTACATATTTTCTTTATATGCAGACGCCATTGTCAATTTATAGTTTCTTTCCCATAATTGCTGCCATCTATCTAATTCAATTGTGTATCCAAAATTCCTTGTCCATTTTATCATTGTCTCTTTCACTTGTTCCTTCTCTAACTCTATAGTAGATAACTATACATTTTTTAATCCATTTTTCTTCCATTCCTGTGAGTATTTCATCTCTGTTGTCCGCAAATTAACACCATCTATTTTAACATCTTTTTCATATCTAGATTGTATTTGTGTTCTCATGTACCAATCCATCTTTATTCCTTGTTCCTCTAATTGTTGTTTGGTTTTCAACTCCCCCATATCTGTTAATAAGTCTTTATATCTTATAATGTTTCCCATGTTAAACATATTGGGGTGTATTAACGCCTCCATAGTTGAGAGCCAATTTGGAATCTTCAAATAATAATTTCTCTTTACTTTCTCCCAGACAACAAATAAAGAATTCCTTATATAGTGTCTCTGGAAATAGCTATGTATTCTGTTTTTTCCATACCATATGAAAGCATGCCATCCCAACTGCAAATCATGTCCCGCTAATGTCAATAATCTTGTATTCCTCAGTAAGATCCATTCTCTCATCCATGATAATGCTGCAGTCTAATAGTACAATTCCCAATTAGGTAGACCAAACCCACCTCTCAATCTTGTATCTTGTAACATTTTTAGTTTAATTCTTGCCTTTTTTTCCCTGCCAAATATATTTCAAGATTATTTTATTAAGCCCTTCAGAATATTTCTTTTCTAATCTTATTGGTATTGTTGTAAACAAGAACAATAATCGTGGTAATATATTCATTTTGATTATCGCAATCCTTCCCATTAATGATAGTTGTACATTTTTCCATTTATCCAAATCTACTTCAATTTGTCTTTTCAATTTATGATAATTATCCTCTTTAATTGTTGTGCATCTTGCTGTCAGGTGGATCCCTAAATATTTTACCTTCTTTACAATCTGTATATCTAATTTTCCCACCAGTTCTTTTTTTTTGTTTTTCAGTAATATTTTTCACTAACATTTTGGTTTTATCTTTATTAATTTTCAACCCAGCTACCTCACCATATTTTTCTATTTGTTCTATTAATACAGGTCCTGTCTCTAATGGTTCCTCCAAAATAAATACTAAATCGTCTGCGAATGCTTGTAGCTTATATTCTTCCCTCTTAATTTTCATCCCTTTTATGTCATTATTCTGTCTTATACGTCTATTTAATACTTCTAATGTCAGAACAAACAACAGTGGAGATAGGGGACAGCCCTGTCTTGTTCCCTTCATAATGTTGATCTTCTCAGTCATATCTCCATTTATCATTACTTTGGCTGATTGCTTATTATAAATTGTTCTGATTACGTTTATAAATTTCTCCCCACAATCCATAGTCTGTAATTGGCTTATCGTGAATTGCCAGTTCACATTGTCGAATGCCTTCTGAGCGTCCAGGAACACCAATGCCATCTGTTTCTCGGGATGTGTTTCATAATATTCTAGTGTATTCAATATAATTCGCATATTGTCTCTAATCTGTCTTTTGGGTAAGAAGCCATTTTGATCCGATTGTATAAATTCATTTAAAAACTTTTTAAGTCTTTCCGCCATTATTGATGCAAATATTTTGTAGTCCACATTCAGTAGGGAAATCGGCCTGTAGTTCTTTATTTTCTGTGTTTCCATTTCTTCCTTTGGTATGAGAGTAATAAGAGGTTCGGACCACGAATCTGGTATCTTAGCTTCAGAAAGAAGTTCATTATAAAGTTCCAACATTACATTACCTAGTACTTCCTGCAATGTCTTATATAGCTCTGCTGGTAGTCCATCCGGTCCTGGTGTTTTACCATTTTTTTGTCTGTTGATTGCTTCTATTAATTCCATCATTGTTATTTCCCCTTCTAATAGCTTTTTAAATTTCTCCAGCATTTTAGGTATCTCTGTTTCTTCCAAAAAATGTTTTATCCTATCATCTGAAACTGTTTGTTGCTTGTATAGGTTCTCATAATATTCCCAGATTATTTTTTTCTTTTCTTCATTTCGATGTTGTAAAATCCCCTCAGCATCTTCCAATTGTTCAATCCATCTCTTCTCTTTCTCCTTTTTAATTTTATATGTCAACCATCTCCCTGGTTTGTTTGCATGCTCAAAAAAGGTTTGCTTAGCTAAGGCAGCTCTACTCATTAATTACACTTGAGAGAACTACTTTCAGGAGCAATCTTAGAGTGGTGGTTTTGTGACATAAACAATTTTTCAAGACATCTGTTTGATCTGGATTTTTGACAAGAAAGCATGTAGGCTGTGCAATTGGGAAATATAAAATGAAAATCTTGTATTCCAGTTCTTTTAAGAACTAAAATGCTAACCTTCATATTTCTGAGATTAGCACTTTCATTCATGGAAGTTTCCTACAGTTTCTCCATAATAATATCTATAAGCCCTTTTAAGTTTGTTCAGGTGATGTGAAATCTAAGTGAAGGTCACTTCCTCTAATGAGTGCATGCAATTAGACTCAAGGAAGAATGCCCATTTCAGTGCCATAAATGAGTTGGGTGCACTACTGTGTTAATCCCTTGTTAAAAAAAATTCTGGAGTTACTTAGCAGAGAACAGAAAAGTCCTTTCTATTTGTTAGGATTGAGTAGTATGAGGGATTATCACATAAAGCAGGTTTTGAATTTGCGTTCAGTGGAAGAGGGTGGAATGGAACTGTTGCATAGCAAGCCAAGAGAAATGTTAAAATTTGTCAGACCAATTGAGGAGTTCATTCTTTTAGTTTGTCTAAAACTGATAGGATATAAATCTATTTTAATCTCTGTTACTGGAAGGGCTCTTAGGGATGACTACTATTAAAATTAACTCCTTGCTCAAGGAATCTGCTATTTATAATATTAGGAGACTTGCAAATAGCTGCTCTCCACATGTTTTAAAGTTGCCAACTTTGGGGACTAATTTCTACAATTCTGACAACAGTAGTATATTTAGAGAGTGTGCTGCCATTGCATCTTGTTTTATGTCCAGTTGCCACTCTTGACCCAGCTCACCCCACAAGGATGGTATATTTAGGAACTTGGGCACCTTACTGCCTTCTTCCAAAGGCCATAAGAACAAAAGGATGCATGTTTGATTGGCATGGTGATGTAGTGCTGTTGCCCAGTGATGGAAATATGAGGTCACTGGTGGACAATGAATCTCTTGTCTGCAGGCAGGGGCCCTCACATAAAGAAAGAAAGCAGAGAAGAAACTGAAATTATTTTTCAGCTGAGCCAAATATCACTCTGAGGGAATGTTGAGGTCATTTTGCACATTTTTTGTACCTGGACCTA